ACTAAATAACATGCTACTTAAAAATAAATGGGTTAACAAGATCATGGAAGAAATCAAAAGGTACCCTGAGACAAATAAAAATAAAAACACAATGACCCAGAATCTATGAAACATAGCCAAAGCAGTTCTAAGAGAAGAATTCATAGCAAGAAGGCTTTCTTTCAAGAAACAAGAAAAATCTCAAATAAAAAATCTAACCTTACACCTAAAGGAACTAGGAAAAAAGGACAAAGAAAGCCTAGAGTGAGCAGAAGGAAGAAAATAATAGAGATCACAGTGGAAATAAACAAAACAGAAACAACAACAAAAAAAGAAAAAAATCATAAAACCAAGATCTCATTCTTTGAAAAGATAAACAAAATTGATAAACCTTTAGCTAGACTCATCAAGAAAAAAAGAGACAAAATAAATAAATCATAAATGAAAGAGACGTGACAAATGGCACCACAGAAATACAAAGGATTAGATGGAAATACTATGAACAATTATATGCCAACAAATTGGACAACCCAGAAAAAAATGGAGAAATTCTTAGAAACAGACGAATTTTCAACATTGTGTCTGGAAGAAAGCAAAAATCCGAACAAATCAATTACTACTAAAAAAATGAAATCACTAATGAAAAAAACTCCCAACAAATAAAAGTTCTGGAATGAATGGCATCACAGGTTAATTTTACCATACATTCAAAGAACTATTACCTATCATTCTCAAACTATTACAAAAAATTCAAGAAGAGAGAAGGCTCCCAAGCTCATATTATGAGGCTAGCAGCATTACTCTGATTCCAAAACCAGATAAAGACATTATAAAACAAAAGAAAATTACAGGCCAATATCCCCGATGAAAATAGATGCAAAAATCCTCAAAAAAATGTTAGCAAACTGAATTCTGCAATACATTAAAAAGATCACATACAATAATTAAGTAGAATTTATTCCTGGGATGCAAGAATGGTTCAATATCAACAAATCAATTAACACAATACACCACATATATAAAATAAAAGATAAAAATCACGTGGCTCATATCAACAGATGAGGAAAAGCATTTGCTAAAACACAGCATCCATTGATGATAAAACTTTTAGCAAAGTGAGAATAAAAAGAACATACTCTCAACATAATAAAAACCACATATGACAAACCTACAGCCAACATCATACACAAAAGTGAAAAGCTAAAAGTGTTTTCCTTAAGATCAGAAATCAGATAAGGATGTCCACTTTCACCACTTTTATTCAACATAGTTAGAAGTCATAGAGTAGCCAGACAAGAAAAAGTAAAATGCATCCAATTTGGAAAGGAAGAAGTAAAACTGTCATTATTTGCAAATGATAGGATACAATATATAAAGAATCCTAAAGACTCCACCCACAAAACTATTAGAATAAGAAATGAATTTGGTTAAGCAGCAGGATACAAAATTAATATTCAGAGAACAGTTGCACTTTTATACACCAATAACAAACTATCAGAAAGAGAAATTAAGGAAACAATCCCATCTACAATTGCATAAAAAATACATAGGAATAAATTTAACCAAGGAGGTTAAAAGACCTGTACTTGGAAAACTATAAGACATTGAAGAAAGAAATTAAAGAAGACACAAATAAATGAAATACCGTGCTCATGGATAAGAAGAATTAGCACCATTAAAATGTCCATACTATTCAAAGTAATCTACAGATTCAATGCAATCAAAATACCAAATATCATTTTTCACAGAACTAGAGCAAATAATCCTAAAACTTATACAAAATCACAAAAGACCCAGAACAGTCAAGGCAATCTGGAGAAAGAAGAACAAAGTAGGAGGTATCATACTGTCTGGTATCAAATTAGGCTATAGTAATCAAAGCAGCATGTACTGGCATAAAAACAAATACAAAGATCAATGGAACATAATAGAGAAGCCAGAAATAAGCCCATGCCTACATAGTCAAATAATCTTTGACAAAGGAGGCAAAAATATACAATAAGATAAAGACAGTTTCTTCAATAAATAGTGTTGGAAAAACTGCACAGACACATGCAAAAGATACACCTGATAAGGGGTTAATATCCAAAATATCTAAGTAACTCATACAACACCGAAAAGACAAACAATCCAATTAAAAATAGGGCAAAGGGCCTGAATAGATATTTCTTCAAAGGGTATACAGGTGGCCACGAGACATATGAAAAGATGCTCAACATCACTAATCATGACAGAAATGCAAATTAAAACCACAATGAGATATCACCTCATACCTGTGAGAATGGCCATCATTAATAAATCAACAAACAAATGTTGGCAAGAATGTGGAGAAAAGTGAACCCCTGTGCACTGTTGGTGGGGTTATAAATTGATGCCGGCACACACAAAAAACAGTATGGAGGTTCCTTGAAAATTTAAAAATAGAACTACCTACCATATGACCCAGCAATTCCACTTTTGGGTATCTATCCAAAGAAACCCAAAACGCTAATTTGAAAAGAAATATGCATCCCTATATTCTTTGCAGCATTATTTACAATAGCCAAGATAAGGAAGCAACCTAAGTGTCCATCAATAGATGACTGAATAAAAAGTGGCAAATAAATACAGTAGAATATTACTCAGCCATAAAGAAGAATGAAATATTCCCAGGTGTGCAACAACACAGACAGAGAAAAACAAGTATCATATCATTCACTTATATGTAGAAACTAAAAAAATAATAAATCAACAAGCAAAACAGAAACAAACTCATAGATGCAGAAAATAAACTGATGGTCACCTAATGGAAGGAGAGCCTCCGAGATGGGTGAAAAAGGTGAAAGGGATTAAGATGGACAAACTGTCCATTATAAAAATAATCATGGAGAGGTGAAGTACAGCATATAGGTAATATAGTCAATAATATTCTAGTAACTATGTATGCTGTCAGATGGGTACTAGACTTGTAGGGAATATCAGTTCATAAGGTATATAAATGTGTAATCACTATGTTGTACATTGAAACTAATATAATATTGTATGCCAACTGTAACTGAACAATATATTTTAAAAGAGAGATATCCCTGAGCTTAAGGATATGTATTTTTTTTAAAAAAATGTATCTTTATTGATTTCAGAGAGAGGGAGAGGGGGAGAGAGAGACAGAAACATCAATGATGAGAGAGTCATCATTGATCGGCTGCCTCCTGCACCCCCGACTAGGGAGGGATTGAGCCCGCAACCCGGGCATGTGCCCTGACTGGGAATCAAACCTTGATCTCCTAGATCATAAGTTGATGCCCAACTGCTGAGTCATGCCAGCCGGGTTGATACCTGTTTTCCTACAGTTTTGTACTGGTTTGTAGGATCTCGCTCTACATTAAGGATAACTGTCTGTTACGTAATTTGCAAATATTATTCCATATTATTTTTTGTATTTTAACTTAGTTTATATTGCCTATCTCTATAAAAACGTTTAAAATGTTAAGTAGCCAAATTTGTACATTTTTTCCTTTATGGCATCTGGGATATATGCCAATCTTTAAAATATATTAAAATTTCCCCTCAATCATTACATTATGAAAAGAAAATGGTATAGTTTATATATTTTATATTTATTGATGCTTCAAACAACTCAACATTCACATACTACATACTGAAATATGGCTAAATCTAAAATAATTAAATGTATTTTGTCCAAAAATTAAGTAATTGCCCGGCCGGGCGTGGCTCAGCCATTGAGCATCGACCTAGAATCCAGGCGATCAGGGTTCGATGCCCAGTCAGGGCACATGCCCGGGTTGTGGGCTGCAGCCGATCAATGACTCTCATCATTGACATTTCTGTCTGTCTCCCTCTCCTTTCCTCTCTCTGAAATCAATAAAAGATATATTTGAAATATATATATATATATATATATATATATATATGAAAAAATTAAATAATTTAAGAATGACACACAAACAATTTGAGCCATGGCAAAGCAGAGTTTCTTTTCTCAGGTCCTCAGAATTCTGGTTATGTAGATAGTATGAAATATTTTAGAATAATATATAAAATTTAAAAAATTAAAATAATTTACTCTAACCACACCTAATACGGTACTTCCCTATGTCTTACAGAAAAATGGACCATGCCATTTTCAGCCAATTCTAACCAATATTAAATTCTTCCGCATGTTGAGGCAAAATCTGTCTCCTTACTTTATTTATTGCCATAAGCCTACTCTAGAACAACAGAAAACAAGTGCAGTGCACCACCTCTGTGCCACTCTATCCTTTTAGATATTTGAAGTATTTTCTTCAAGTTCAACAGTTCTTTCCTTAGTGTACCTTTTAATATAAATATTTATTCACCTAATAGACCCATTATATTATAATCTCCATGGAGACAGTGCAACTGTCTTTTAAATCTTAATCCTGAATGCCTGCTATAAAGAAAGCACTTAATACACAGCTGGTTGAATGAAAAGAAAAGAAAAAATAAAAGGACAGCTGTGGCCTAATTTCTTACTTGTGGACAATTATGATGTGTTAACTTTTTTTTAAAATCAAGAAACTCAGACAGTATTATTTCTCAGTTTCTTCTGTGATATCTTAATGTTTTAATGTATACAGTTCTTTGTCCTGAACACATTCCTGATAAATATACAGTACTGAACATTTTTATAATATATCTACAGAAATGGCATAGGTCCAAAACAGTCTATAAAGTAGCTTATCTGCATGGCACAATGACTATTCCATGTCATTCTGACATGTTTGTTAATATAAGGGAACGTGGTATTATGGCTACACAGCTCCAATTATATTCATGTTCATTTAAAAAATCATTCACTAAATAGAGATTTTGGAATTACATACATGCAAGGAATAAGTACAAATCTCTTAGAGGTGCTGAGGCAGAAAAAAAGGTTAAGAACTACAGATCTTCAATGGTAAGTCTCCTATTCATGAAAATAATTTTTTTTCAAAGAAATGTGCTTGATATTTAAAAATATGTGAATCTTTACCGACTAATTGGGACCAAAATATACTTACTTCACTGTGGCACTTAGAAGGAAGTTAATCTGTGGCATTAACAGGTTGTCTGGTGCTGATAGATAACGATCAAACTGAACCTAAATGAAACAGAGAAATGTAAAACAAACTGCATATATTTCCTAACAGACATCTCAAATATATCACCATATCTTTCTTTTAAATTTATCTTTATTGCTGAAAGTATTACAGATGTCCCCTTCTTTTCCCCCATTGACCCCTACACTCCACACCTGCCCCTTGTGTAGGCCTTCACCTCACTATTGTCTGTGTCCATGGGTTACGCATATATGCATATAAGTTCCCAGGGGTTAATCTCTCCTGACCCCCACCTGCCTCTGCTTCCCTATATTATCTTTTAAGGGTTAAATCTTAGGCAAAATCCCATATTCCAAATAACAAGTTATTTGTGATCAAAATGATAAGTTATTTCCTTAAAAATTCTAACTAAACTCCCTAAAAGTGTCAACTTTTTAAAGTAGTCAATATCCAGCAATACCTGCTTTTAAAATTCTGAACCTTAGCCATTAATCTTCATTTCCCTCACCAAGCTTTTGAGCAATTTTAACAAAAAGTAAAGTCATCAGATTTTAAGTCCACTTTACTTTCTTTAAACCATTGCATTTGTTACTTATTCACTCAACTAATATTTATCAAACACCTACTATTACAAAGGTACTATATTAGGTACTGTAAATATAATGGTGAGTCAAAGTGGACAGTCCCTAGCATCAAAGAGCTAGTGGCCTAGTAAGAAGGGTAGTAAACAAATAATAATGTAAATAAATATGTATTTACAAATTGTGTTAAATGCTATGAAGGAAGAAACCAAAGTACTATAAAAGCATAAATCGGAAGGACTGACCTATTCTGTACGTTTGGCAAAAGCATCTCTGAGAAAAGGTGATTTTAAGTAAGATCTCAAGAATAGACATTAAGTACGTGTGTGTGGTGGGAGTTCAGGGAGTAAGGATAGCATGTATGAAGGCTTAAGGAGAGAAAGAGAAGAGCTAATAGTTAATGTTCAACTTGCATGCTTTTTCAAAGGATTTTAATTCTGACTATAAAAGCACTAGGAAACCACTGAAGTAAGGGAGTAATCTGGCCAAAGCAAGAAAGAATGTAATGAAAGACTGTAATGGTAGTTGCAAGGACAACAAATAGGGAGCTACTACAGCATCTTAGTCTATAAGGGAAATGAAGACAAGAGAAATGTGAGAGAATTAAAGAGTAAAGTTATCAAGAGCTGGTTAGTGATAGGATGAAGGGACTGACTCCCAGATTTTGGATCTGTATAATTTAATTCACAGTATTATCACAACTCACAATTGTATAGTTTAGATGTTTATTTAGTTGTGTAATGGCTGCATCCTTTACTAAATCATATCTCTTTTCATCCCAATTCTTAGTATGTTGCCTAGAAAACAGTACATACTTGGTCAATAACTGTTGAAATAATAAATAGATAGATGCTCTTACCATTGTGAGTTAAGAACACTTGGAAGAATCTGGGATTGGGGGTGGAATAGGAAGAGTTAGAAGAGTTCAGTTTTAGAGATGATGAACTGAAGTGTCTTTGAAACATCCAAGTGAAGGCAACAGACAGTTATATATAAAATGAAAGATCACATATAAAACTCAATCAAGATTTTGTTTCTTTAATGACACATAAGATATTCAAGATAATTATTCTCGCCCTGGCTGAGTGGCTCAGTTGGTTGGAGCATTCTCCTGTACACCAAGAGGCTGTAGGTTCCATTCCAGTCAAGGCACGTTTCTAGTCTGTGGGTTTGAGCCCTGGTCAGGGTGTGTACAGGAGGCAACTAATCAATGTTTCTCTCTCTCTCTCTAAAAAGTCAATAAAAACATATCCTCAGGTGAGGATTAAAACAAGAATTATTTTCAAAGTTAAAAAATAAGGCAAATAAGAATTTGTAAGGGATTTAAATATATTTTATGGGTTTATATTATGGACTGGATATGTGTTGGGTAGAAGAAACAGGGAGGAAACACATTTATTGAGCACTAACTATGGTTGCTTATCTTTGTGTAGACATATGAGCTCATTTTTGGAAGGTAAATACCTTAAAGTGGAATTACTGGGTAATATAGCAACTGTATATTTAACTTTTTAAGAAACTTATCTTTTTAAATAAGTCTAAAATGTATTCATTTTCATTTATTTTTATTTGAATGTTTTAGAGTCAAATGTTTTGCATTTCTAAGTTTTGATTTTATAATTCACATACAGAGGTTATAACTGTTACTTCTATATATATCTTTTATCATGACATAATGTTCCTTATTCATCCTATTTAGTGTTTTCAAACTCTACCTTGTCTAATATTAGTATCGTCAGCTATGCGTTCCTAGCAATTGTTAGGTATACTGGCCCTATCCCTTTATTTTCAGTTAAATTTATACCTGTAAGGTGATAGATAAGAAAGCCCTGGCATCAAAAAAGACACCTAAGAGAGCTATTTATTAAAGTCAAACTGTTTTGGTAATGAGTATATTTGAGCATTTAAACACTTAGGATGGGCAATATAATATAGTAGTTAAGAGCATAAGTACTGGGTTGAATGGGGTTGTTAGGAGGATTAAAGAGTTAACACATGAAAAACATTTAGTAGGCTAAATAAAGTTAATGGCAGTTATTATTCATATTTGGTATTATTACTAGCAGTGTTATTATTGTAAAGCTTCCAAAGGGAATCATCCTGTGAGAGCTAAATGAGTATAATCCAATTGAGGAATATATGTTCATGCAAAGAATATACTTAAGACATGAGCATGCTACAAAAAGTGGTGGTCTTACAGAAAGGGATGTGCTAGCAAGATCTTCACTTGAAAAGTAATAATGTGGAGAATCGGTTGAGTGTGACACTAAAGGGTAATATGTTATTTTAAAATTGGAATCCAATTTTAGGTATCACCTCAGGAAGAATTCAAAAACTAAAAGCCAAAGATCACTGACAATAAGTAGAAAGTCTAGAATAATATAGAGTCTAACCTCTTCATGTCCATCACTCCTGTTTCTCCATTATTAGGTTACAAGTAAAACTCTAAAAATGAAAAAAATCTAAATAGAAATAAAGAGTCTACTAGGGTATAGTAGAATATTACTACAAATGTATGTCCTGGTCAGACTTCCTTAGTAGAATAGATACAGGTGCAATCATTATTGGAGCCAATGTGAATACAGCACATCAAGAGATTTAAAAATATCACCCAAAGACATAGAAAAAAATTAAGAATGATGTTTCAAAAAGCAGCACAAGAAATACGGTTCGTTAACTACAAGAAAGCTTGCATAACACTGTCATGCGATATCTAAACAGAAATTTTTAAGTTCAGAAAGAACTGCCACAAAATATTCAAAATGATATAAAAAAGGATCTACCACCAAGACTACTCTACCCAGCAAGGATATAATTTAAAATTGAAGGAGAAATAAAGGGCTTCTAAGACAAGAAAAAGCTAAAGGAGTTAATCAGCAACAAACTATTATCATAAGAAATGTTAAATTTCTTTAAGAAGAAGAGGGGAAAAAAAGAACATAAACATAAATAATAAAATGACAATAACTATGTACCTATCACTAATGATTTTAAATGTAAATGGTTTAGCCCCAGTTGGGTGGCTCGGTTGGAGTGTCGTCCCATACGCCAAAAGGTTGTGGGTTCCATCCTGGGCCAGGGCACATACCTAGGTTGTGGGTTCGATCCTCAGTCAAGGCACCTATGGGAGGCAACTGATCGATGTTTCTCTCTCACATCCATGTTTCTGTTTCCCTCTCTTTCTCTCTCTCTCTCATCCTCTTTCTCTAAAGTCAAGAAAAATATATCCTTGGGTGAGGATTAAAAAATAAAATAATAAAGCAAATGCTCCAATCAAAAGACATTGGGTTGCTGAATGAGTAAGAAAACAAGACCTATATCTATGCTGTCTACAAGAGAAGCAACTCAGATCGAAAGACACACAAATTGAAGGAAAGGAATAAAAAAAGATATTTCATGCAAATAAAAACTAAAAAAAGCTCAGTTAGTAATACTTACATCAGACAAAATAGACTTTAAAACAAAGGCTATAATAGGAGACAAAGAAGAATAAAAGGATCAATCCAATAAGAGGATATAACCCTTGTAAATATTTGTGGACACAATATAGAAGCACCTGAATATATAAAAGAAAATTTTGATGGACATAAAGAGAGAGAGTAACATTAATACAGTCATAATATAAGGTTTTAATATCCCATTAATATCAATGAATAAATCTTCCAGACAGAAACTCACCAAGGAAAGGAGAGCCTTAAAATGTCACATTAGGTTTGATTCCAAGAGGGTGGTAGATTAAGTGGAAGATACAGTGAGACTCTTCCAGGACTAAACTGGAATACAACTAAAATAGAGAAAAAAAATCCTGAATAATCAATTGAAGACTAGCTGAAGAGAACCTACATAACAAGGATAAAAAGTGGAGACTGCACAGAGACTGGTAAGAAGTGTGGGGGCCCAGGAGGGCAGGCTGAGCTCCCACAGTCAGCAGCTGAAGTTCTCAAGGGATATCTCAGCTGTGGGGGGTTCACAATGATAACTCGGAGGTCTAAGCACCAAGTTGGGTTCCCCAGCCCAGATCACGAAAACTGAGAAAGATGCCCATATAACATTTGGCTGCAAAAAGCAGCACGGTTTCTCTCTGCCAGGGATAGACAGCTGAAATGCAGGCACCCACTTAAAGGGACAATGAAGAAAATTTCATGTGCAGCCACTAACCTTGGGCTCTGGCACAGGGAGGGCAAAGTGGTCTAGAACTGTGTAAGGAGAACCCAGAGGTGCTGAGAAAAGAACTCGGAGGGCAGCTATCTGTATTCCTGTGCTGAGTTATTACCCCATAATAAATAGGACATATTTCTTAAGCAGACCTTTTCCATCCAGGAGGTTTTTGCCTGGAGGGGGAAGCAACTGCCCCACCCTGTCGGGAAACCTCTTGAACCATCCAGTGGAATTTATGCCTTGCTGCAGTCTACAGCCTGAGGCTCATTAAGAAACTCAGACTATCAATCAGCCTACAAAGT